ATCCCAATACTGGCTCCAGCTGTCATCAGAATGTCCAAAGAACCATGAAAATGTTAAGGAGAATCTTTTGCTCTTCGCTTCTTCTTTCCTTTTCGATGAGAAGATGCTGAGTGAACAGACAATACAGAGCGGGCATACCAACGAATTCTGTCAACCTGTTCATGAACATCATGTTCGAATAATAAAAGAATGAAAAGAACAATCTCAGACAAGTTTCAAGCATCTCCCAAAGGAATGTTCTTGAATAATCTTATTTACAAATATATATATTCATGTTTTTAAATAATTATTTATCATTTATATAAGAAACAAATAAAAAATAAGGATAAACTTGTAAAAAACATGATTAGAATGGGTACATCTTTTCGAATGTTAAACTTCGACATTGCTGCACAACCCATGTTCACCATGCTCCTGAAAGTTGTTGAATGCGTTGATTGCATGATAATGAATTCAATGTTTCGTTTAAGAACAGGAAAACGTCTACCGAAACATATAAGTGTACAGGGCATATTCCTAATAATACCCTGTACTTCTAGGGTAAGATCTTCATCTGTAGCATTAGCATCTTTCTTATAGAATAGACAGGTCGGATATGTCTTCATTGTCAACCAATTTTCATGATTTAGTTTGCGGAAGAGAAAACGAACAACTGTCTCTCGTTGTTCATAATCATAGTGTCCGCCTACTTTAATGTGCAACATTCGAGTGTTGTCTGGGTCTAAACTCTTCAATAAGTTAGGTAAAACATGTTCCATCGTAGACGTCTGAAAGACATTCGATTACTATGTTGATGAGAGTTTATGATATGAGAGGAATATTTTCAAATAAATAAAAAAACAAAGACTAATTTGTTAGAAATTAACAGAACCTGCCTGTCTTTACTTCACAAGGACACGTTTGAGCAAGAATACGATTGATTGAATGGGCTTGTTGCAAATGAAGCTGATTGAGAAACAGTCGAGCTTATGAAATCTAATGTAAAGTTACAATGCCACAAAGCTATCAAACTCCAACAAGATTCGAAGTTGGGGAAAGATTAA